TATACAGTTAAAGTATGGGGTTGAGGGATATAGCAAGTTTCTGGTGTCCCGAGACCAGGTCTATTTCCCGAGGCGAAGCCGAGGGAAATAGGCATGGTCAAGGGACACCAGAAACTTGCTAACATCCCTCAACCCCATACTTTAACCGTTTTATTATACCGATATATTCACACTGGAGAGATAGTTTTAACTAGAAATTATTTGTAAACCATAAGCTGTAGATCACAATAGAGCCAAAAATGCTTCCGTGTTCGGTAGCAAGCTCCGCCCACCTCGCGCGTCGGTTCCGAGTTCGGTAACAAGCTCCGCCCACCTCTCGCCTGATTGGCTCGGCGGAAACACCCGAGTGTAGGTGTGTTTTAGTTCCCAGACTAACACACATGACTAAAACACAGTCAGGCAAAAGTGGGGATATATTCGATTTAATCAATTAGTTTTATATATAATAAGAGTGGATAAGCGGATAACTGGCCAACATTTTTTGTCACCTTTGTCTAAATTAACATCTCACAATCACTTACGGTCGAAGCAAACGACCATTCACTATGTTTCTGGTTTCTGACGTTTGAAGGGTGGTACCGGTATCGTTGGCTCGAGAGTGAAGCTAGTGACGGTGACTCATTAGTGCATTTTTCGTAAAGATTCAGTTAATTTTAGTTCCCGATGTTTTGTCTTTTCAATCCGAGATTTAAGACTCTGCTTGAATCTCATTCGTTCACTGAAAAGATGACAGATCACACGCGAAAAGGCGTGGGAAATGCAGGCTAATTGCTTTTTTCGGAATATATGTTTCGTCGTTATTTCGTTTTTGTCCTACCGCCCATCCTTCCCCCAACCGAAAAATAACAAAAAAAACCAAAACATTTTTTGTATATGGTACTGAGACCAGCCCTTCCTTCACTACCAGTGACACATCTATATATATATATGGTACCGAGACCGTCCCTTCCTTCACTACCAGTGACACGTCTATCTATATATGGTACCGAGACCGTCCCTTCCTTCACTACCATTGACACGTCTATCTATATATGGTACCGAGACCAGCCCTTGCATCACTACCAGTGACACATCTATATATATATATATATGGTACTGAGACCGTCCCTTCCATCACTACCAGTGACACGTCTATCTATATATGGTACTGAGACCGTCCCTTCCTTCACTACCATTGACACGTCTATCTATATATGGTACTGAGACCGTCCCTTCCATCACTACCAGTGACACGTCTATCTATATATGGTACCAATACTGTTGATTTGTTACCGATAAAGAGATGCTTTTAAACAGATCCATACCAATGCTTAAATATTTAATCAGGTTTAATGTTAAAGCATTTATAGGAACGCAACGGATTGGGACATGCTACTTCCAATCCATGAACACCGTATGCGAGGCCGGTATCTGATCACTCAATCGAAATTAAACCAGTAGCATAGAAACCAAAACAACAGAATTTGTTTATGAAACACCTAGCATTTGTTCTCTAATATATATCTATAGCAATGAAAATGAAATTTGTAAAATGAAGGGCTTTTCACAATTCTAACCCAAAACCTAGATTATTTCATATAGGATATGTTGATTAGGCAAGAGGAGAAAAGAAAATTAAGTATAAACACGAACATCAGACACACTACTCTACCAGTGATCTATGTACGCGCCGAGTTTACGGACATCCCCGAAGTTCCACACTTACGTTCTCTGTAAAATGAACCCAGGAACTATTACTTATAATTATAAAAGAAAAATCCACACGGAACAAGCCCTGGAACGATATGATTAAACATGGATTCCGATAATTAACCCCGGACCATTTCCGACCTGTCCGTGTCCTTTTTATTTGGTTTCGAAAAGATAACATGACCAATCAATATATTAGCAACACTCTAATATCAAAAACACGGATTGTCCGCCGTAATCAATAGGTGTAATGCAATAGAGAAGTTTGTGGGTTTAGGGGAATGAGCCTTTACCATAGAAACGTAATCCTCAACTCGACGAGACAGAGGTGTTTGGAAGCACGGCCCGACTATTTCAGGAAGACAGACGTTATCAACAAATAAACAACTCAGCTACATACATAATACATAGACCTGGTGAACACACGGAACTAGTGTGCATCTAAAGTGAAATGGAATTCACTTCGATCTACACCGGTGGTGGTAGCCTGATACAGCTAAAATAAAGTGGAACAGCCCTGCTGAAGTGGTACCCCAATACAACTACAATAAAGTGGAACAGCCCTGCTGAAGTGGTACCCAAATACAACTACAATAAAGTGGTACAGCCCTACTGAAGTGGTACCCAAATACAACTACAATAAAGTGGTACAGCCCTACTGAAGTGGTACCCAAATACAACTACAATAAAGTGGTACAGCCCTACTGAAGTGGTACCC